TTATCTTCATTCTGTTTATTTTTATCTATATGAAAAGGTCGGCCAGAATCAAAGAGAATTCTCCTGAGCAGGGATTAACCATTTCCCCTTCTGGTCCAATTGCATATTTTGCTCAGATTTACAGATTTATTTGTTTCTGCAAATATCCAGGATACTGTACATTGGTTTTCTCACTGAATTTGTGATTATGGAGACAGTATCAAAGCCATAATCCAATGTTTTGACTAATTGGTTCTAAACCTCAATATTTTCCTGATATTCTAAAATTGGGGATTTTCCATCCATTTTCTTTTTAAGAAGTTGCCTCAGGTTTAGCTTTTTTAGATGGCCATTTGCTTGTTTTATCTAGCAAGCCACATTTAAGCAAATGTTTGTTCTTCTTGGATTGGCACAATATACTTTCCTGATACTATGTCAGTAATTTGTTTTTGATTCCATGTGGTATTTCAACTTCCCATTTCACGCCTGATCATTTATTGAAGAAGTTCCCTATTAGTGTTTTATGTCATTTGCCAACAGATTGTCCTTGACTGTATCTTTGTTTTTGGTTTTGATTTCATGGTACACATAATCTAGGCAGACTCGTGAGACTGAGTCTTGAAGTTAGAAATTAGACTTAACTCAGGAATATTCAAGAATGATCCTCAGAGATATGAGATATATTAGGAAAATATTTTTAAAATTACACAGAAATTTTTTTTTCTAATATGCAGTATGTACATACATGTTCTTTGATTGTTAATGTGAATTTTTGGCTCTAGAAAACTTTGTAGTATTTTAAGGTCCCACGTGGATTCTAGCTAGGGCTAATGTAAGTATTGTCAGGGGGTTCAAAGCCTTTGTAGAGATATTATTCTTTTTGAGATGTATATCCCAGATGAGTTGTTAGTCCGTAAGTCTAAAAAGTTCCTCAACAGGATATTTAATCTAAGTCCCATTTGATTTCTAGAATGAGAAAATACCACAGAAAATTGACCCAATTGGTTTTCAGCTTCTTCTTCCAACAAATATAGCCAAACAAGCACCTTCAAGCGGGCTGGTGACAGTAAACTGAATGGAATGGCAAGTATACAAGAATAAACAGTAAGAGCAGAAAATAAATTGTTGTTCTGTGCTGATTTGGATAGAGTTTTTCAATAAAATTTGTCATTATGGGATTGTCAAAAGAATAATTTGGGGTCCCAATATGAGCTGGGGTTACACAAGAATAAATCAGAAAGAAACCCAGACATGTTGTGTGGAAATGAGATTGTATTTATTCCCAAAAGCAAAAAAAAAGGATTGTTTGTGTTGCTAATGATAGGGGAAAAAATGAGATACAGAGAGGTTCTTTTTTTTAGCGATGACTAGGTCCTTGCTGTGGGCTTGAAGTGTATAGGTGTGTACGTGCTGGTCCTACTGTGTGACTGTCAAAAGGTCAATCTTAATTGTCCTTCCTTGTGTCTGTAGACTTGCCTTTGTTGTGTGGTGCCATAAGATGGTGGCTTATTTGTAGGTTTGAGAAAGTGTGGGTGAACAGTCCGTAGAGATTCTCAATCATCCAGGTTCATGGTTGTCCCAAAGGTGCTTTTTCAGGAGGCAACTAGACTTTCTTGTTTTGAAGATGTTTTGCCTCTCATCCAAGAAGCTTCTTCAGCTTTGACAGGATAGTGGGAAATGGAAGGATTTATATTCGTTGCAGACAGCTGGCGATTTACATCCTTTTAAAGGGTCATTGAAGCACTTGGAGGTTTATCTGTGTCATCAGGGTCACTTGAGTAGTGCTACTGGCTCCTGTATGCAGTTTTTCCTCTGGAAATCGATTCCTACTCCCACACCATTCAAAGGGTGTTCATCCCAAATTGTATACCTAAAGGTCTGGAGTGATTCTCAGTCATCCAGGAGCACTACTCAGGTGATCCTGAGGACACAGGATGTTTTGCTTTGCTTTGTTTTGTTTTCTAACATGATTATGAATATAGAAGTAAGATTTCTCATATATACTTTACTTTTGTTCCTAAACCATGATGACAATATAACTACTATTTTTGGCTACAGCTTGAGAAATGCAGTTGTGACGTTCTATTTATTTAGTTTTAATTAGAATATATTTTAAAGATGTTATGAACTGTATTTTCAATTACATTGCTTTTATGCTTATTATTAATCACTTTGAATTCCATTTGTTAGCAGAAAAGTGGGATATAAATCCAGTGAATGAAAGAAAATTTGAGACAAACATACCATTAAAATAAACAGGAAAATGCAGTAAAGAATATCTTAGAAATGCCCATATTTATCAAGGCATTTCAAGATAAAAAACCTTCCCTTGAGGCATTCAACAATCTGCAAAGTCAACTGCACTGATCATTTGCTGCACCCAAGGCTTTTTAATTTTGTTTATTGTTACAATATAGCATAATGATTAAAAACTGGTGCATAGCACTGAATCTGCTGCAAAACCAAATAAAACTTTTGACCCAATGAATATTGGTGAAATATTTTTTGTACATGATTTTAAAAACACACAGACATTTAGCCTATTGGGCAAAGTTAGGTATCTAGGATATATTTCTAGATATATAGACATTGTTGGTTTTCCCATTGTTGGGAAAAATGTAAACAATGGGGAAAAGTTGTGTACACTACAGATCAAGACCTGAGATTTTCTAGACAATAGCATTAACAAGACAATTATAGTGTATATTTCATTGGTTAACAGCATGTTTCTAGGAGAAATTACAGCACCATAACCCACCAAAAATAAATAACAGCTACAACATATTTACAGAGTTCATTATGATAATCAGGTTACTGCATTAATTACTTCATTAATTGAAGTAATTAAGTAATTACTGAAATCATTGAAGTTTATATCAATTTTTTTCATGTATAAATTTTAATGTATTTATACACAAGCAAGTGGAAAGAATAACAGGATGGAAGACAACTGTCATGATCTCTGTTGGTGCAGAATTACAAATTCTTATGAACTATGCATAAAACTGGGCCAGGTTTGATGACATCTATTCAGTGAAAGTTGGGCCAATGAAAGCATCAATTTTGTCCAGGGAAGTGCAACATTACTAAGCATCAACAATGTCACATCACCAGATCCTGGGTGTCATGGGATGTATGAATAACTTCAAGGAATAGAAGGAGTCCCAACCAAGATAACAATCAAAGAAATTTGAGTCCAAAGCTGAAATATAATTGGACAAAATACCCCAGAATTCACCTTACTACTTTGTGTCAATATAGAGGCATAGAGAGAGGGAGGCAAATTCAAACTTGCAAAATTCTGTTGGTACAATCCTATACAAAAAGTAGTATTAGCATTCATCATTTTGGTTTCCTAGTCTGGTTTACGTGAAAGCTGACATTGGGGTCTGAAAACCCAAAGCTACTGCCTTGCTACAGTTGAGTGAGAGTCTATACTTCCCCATCCAGACCATCATAATCTCCAGACACTTTGTGTACTTCAACAGCATCACCTGTTGCTAGGTGGAGATATACTACTGATATCATCAGTATATGTAGTGTACTACATCCTGTGTCATTGAATGACTTTGCCCTGTGGTTTCATGTGGATGTTAAAACAGATGGGTGAGACACCTAAGCCCTGAGACACTTTAGCAATTTAGGGTTGGACCTTTTTTTTACCAATCAACATTAAGGGGAACTGACTAAGAGAAGAGGAGAACCACTATAGATGAGTGGCTTCCAAATGTCCAAAGTTGGTCCAGAACAATATTACTTGATGGTACGGAAAGCCATTGAGAGATCTAAAATAATTACACTCACCTCCATCCTGACCCTACCTGAAAGTCATCCACAAAACAACAATTAGAAATTGAAGTTTGGAGATTGAATGAAAGATATTCATACTGTGGGTCCATGGATGACCTCTGAGAAGTAGGCATACTAGCACATCCTTCAAAGTAGATGGTATCTCGCCATCTTGGTAAAGGGGATTAAACACTACTTGGATTCAATCATTTGCCAAATCCCAAGAGGCCTCAACCAACCAGAATAGGAATTAGGTAAGAACCAGTTAAGCTAAACAATACCCTAAAAAAAATTCTTCATTCCATGAAAGAAATTTAAAAGAAATGATTGACAAAAAATAGCCATCAGTTGGGATTTATTGGAAATGATAGGCATAGTCCTTAAAAATGTTTATTATTCCCCTTTGAACCTAGTAAAGACAGATGTAAACCTCAGTTTCTTCTGAAAATGCCTACTTACACTGATTGATTAATTATCTAGCAAGCCATTTTAAAACCTGGATTAAAATAATTGTACATGGCATTACACTATCTTCCTCTTGCTCATTTTCTAATAAAAGTTCAGTTTCAGGCTAGACAGAAATAACATTTTATATATTTTTATATACAATTTTATATAACATAACTTCTCCATCTTAGGAATTGATTTGGGATATGATTCTTTCTCAATGGCCTCATCTGAACATGGATAGAAGAGACCCATATATGAGATGCTATTAAATCACCCCATGCTCAAAAGCCTTGGTAATATAGATATCCTTTTATACAGAATGGAAAGAGTTATGTTAAGATAATTTGGTATAGATCTACTTTGGAGTATCGTAGAATTTTTATCTGTTTTTCAGAAGATCCAAATAAAAAATTCTGTTTGATTTATGTTTCACCTTGGTCCAAATATTATAAGAAATTGACCTGAGAGGTCACAGTGTGAAGAATCTGACAGTACATGCCCCCCCTCCCCCCAAGAAGTACACTTATATACTGAATCAAAGACTCACCCACAAAGTTAGTTTTAGCTAACATTTCAAGCAATAAATTCTTGTGCAGTCTTTCACAGAAGAACAGCTTAGTTCCAGTTGAAGAAATGTGTAGGGTGGATTGAGGAGTACAAAGCAGGATTTTAATAAATTTTGCCTGAGTTGCTTCTAAGGACTTTATATCTTCCTAATGCAAAGTTGTTGTCCATATGGTAGGGAACTCAGCATCCTAGCTCAAATAATTTCACTGCTACAGGAATGAAGTTGTAACTGTTACAGCCTGCAAATCCAATTATATTATTGGAAGCCTTCTGGGCATAAACTATAGTTTCTCAGTGTTGCTTCCAAAAGGTAGTAGATTAAAAATAAATTTCTAGATATTTAAAAACCTTAATCTGTTCAATTTGAATGACATTACTTTTCCAAGTGTGGTCTCGGTTGGTACACTGCTTAGTAAATTAAACTAACTTCATTTTCAAATAATTAACTTCTCATTTTTCATGCTGCAACATATGCTAGAGTCTGGAGGCTCTGTCAAAAAAAAAAACCAAAACCCTGAGTTTGGGAGAGAACGATAATGTCACCTGCATAAATTAAGATGCATATAGAATTGCTGTCTAAGAATGTATGGTGGAACTTACATTTTGAGAAAGCTTGAACTGTGGAATGAATCTAAAAATAATGGAAAAAGATACAACCTTGCTAGTCTTGTTATATTGTGGGAATTGGGGCAGAAGAAGAATTTGACTTGCATATAGGTGTTATAATCAGTGGTGGGATTCAAATTTTTTTACTATCAGTTCTGTGGGAGTGGATTGGTGGGTGTGGCAGGGGACAAATACTGTAAAATCTCTAGTCAGAGGTGATATTTGCTGGTTCTCTGAACTACTCAAAATTTCCGCTACCGATTCTCCAGAACTGGTCATAACTTGTTGAATACCCTCTCTGGTTATAATACAGCAACATGTTTAACTAGAATTATTGATGATGGCTGTGGCTGCTTTGTCCAATCAATAGTTTGGAAACCTTCATCTCCTATTATGAATTTGTTTGTTCTTAAAATGACAAGTACTAAAACAAGTTAATATAACAGAGTTAAAGTTTACAATACACAAATGAAAGAAACTAGAATCATCATGGGGACCTAACTTAGATGCCCCATTTGTACCTGCGGGTATCAGTTCTGAATTTGGGAAAAGAAGAATTAATATTAGTAAGAAATGCTCAGATCAATAAAAGAATCATTAGTTTATGACAGGGCTGTCAAACTCCTGGCCTGCAGGCCAAATGCATCATGCTCTGGCCATGCCCATGCCTGGTTTAGTGAAGGGGGGAAAAGTCCTGATATGTCATGTGACACTGCCATGACAACATGAGTTTGACACCCCTGGTTTAGGACAACAGTCTCTAAAGAAAGAAGTATTAACTCAACGAGAAACAACTTCTAAGTTTCAGTTTTATAGTGCTATCCAATCAGTTATAGTAAATAGAAGCAGAGGGAATTTTATGGGCAAATGTCCCTATGAACATAATTAGTTTCAGACCCCATTTTTTTTCCTTCTCTTGCATTCTTAGTATTTAAATTTGGTAGAACAGGAAATTAATCACATCTCCCTAAGAAGGAAATTAAAAACATCTCCCTAAGAAGGGGATTGAACTCGGTAGATTCAATGGCTCTTTCAATTCTGTGATTGATGAGATTTAAATACATTTACCTCAGGGGTGTCAAACTCGCAGCATCACAGTGGAATCACATGACATATCAGGACTTTTTTCCCCTTTCGCTAAACTGGGTGGGGGTAGAATAGCTCCAGTGTCAAGATCTGCAAGGTGGATCTTTCTCCTCTTATATGATGACAATGTAATCAACATTGTATTGTGTAGAAATAGAAGGCAGGCATTGAATTTATCCACACAATTCTTGAAACCGCCTAATAAACAGTTTTTCATTGATGAGATATTTAGCTAAAATACATTTGTTTTCTTCTTCTTTCCCATATAATTCTTGGATCCTTTCATATGATGTCTATTATGAACCTTTCAAAGATAACCAATTTCTATTTGCAAATGGACAGTCAATATCTGCCTGAAGCATGTAGAAAAATAAATGGTAGAGTTGAAACCCAAAGGATGAAAGGCTAAATGAAATGTTTTTGCACATGCAAAATTGTCTTCCATTTCCATATGCAGAACCAACTCATCTAATCTGTCTGCTAGAAGAAAAACAGTTTTCTTAGCTGTCTGCTAGGCCATGGCAAATGGAAGAAAAAAGATAGGGAAAAAATGTAATCAAGTGCACAAGCACTTGAGAATAATCATAATAGATGAAAGATTTCAGGTTAAATAAGGGCTTCACCTTATTGATTACAAAATCAAAGCTGCAATGCAATGGTGTTTATTCAGCTGTGTATTATCAATAACACTATCAGCACGGTCGTGATTTAGAAAAAATAGAATGCATGAAATTACCAAGAAGCCAGTCAGATTCTTTTAAAGGATTTTTCATAAACTAAGACATTTTTAATATTTAAGTAATTAAATATTACTTTAAAAAACTCTTTCGTTTTTTTTTTTAAAAACTGCAAACTACACAGATTCTGCTGTAAGCTTCTTACTTTTTATAGTTTAAGAAAATGATTCTAGCTAACTCTATATAAAGAGAGAAGCGTATTGCAAGGAAAAAGCAAAAGCAAAAATGAAGAAATGAACTCAATCATTAATGAGAACCTAAGTGGAATATTCCTTTTTGCCTCTTCTATTTTGGGTTACTACCTTGGCTTAAACTGGATATAAGTTTTAGATACAAGTTGTGTGTGGCTTGTTTTTTTTTAAAATAATGAGTTCTGAAGCTGATTTTGACATACATTTGTTTCTAAGTTTGACTTGAATTGATCTGTTCCTCATTCTTCTGAGACAATGGAAGAGGACTTGGCCATTTCTTCATTTATTGACTCTGTTGAGATGAATGGTTAAAGACTTGTATTTATCCCCTTATCACTCCAAGTAAAACCTAAGCAGGATTAGAGATAGAGGTTTTTTGGACTATCTTTGGAGATATTATAAAGTAGAGATTTTAGGTGCTTCAATATCTTTATTATTTTGCCATTTTTAACCACAATGTGGTTATTAGCAATATCTAGCACCTTTTATTTTCTATCTGCGCATAATGGAACAATTTAAATAAAAGTAAATTCTAAAAAACAATTGATTTAATTGTACTGACTAAATACAAATTGACAAGGAGATTCTACTGATGGAAAAGATAGATAAAGGGACTACAATAATTCTGTTTAATCCTGGTTTATTGAATAAATGACACAATTGGTTCTGGTCACACCATATATTAAGCCAAGAAAAAATATTATTATGTGAACAAAACAAATAGCCAGTTATACAGCTGTCCATCTATCCCTGAAACTCTGAATTGCAAAGAAAACAAAAGTATAATGTTCCATAAAAGAGAAAACAAACAATATCCCAAAATGTCATATAATCAAAGGCATCAGGGTTCAAAAAGCCCCATCAGGACTGTTTTGTTCTGAATTCAGGATTAAAGTAGGATGTGGCCTCCAAGAACGATGCCTAACTTCTCAAGCAGGAATGTGAGCAGCATTTGATAGAGGCACTTCATCTGAAAATAAACACAATGACAACACATATGTCATAATATGCAAAATAATGAGAGAAACAAATTCCTCAGCTTTATTGTTATGTTCACAGTTGCTATGATGGTCCAAGTTTTATTTAGAGTAAGATATTTTACAGTGTGAATTGCATGCTCCTAATGTTAAGAAACAAATAAGAGAATGTGAAAGTTGGAAAGGGAAAAAAATGAATAAAATTGACTTGCATAAGAAGTTGAAGTCTAGAAAGAGGCTTTTATTATCAGAAAATGACATAATCACATTTAAACTATTCTATTGTATGAAACTCACTTGATACCAAAAGTAGGCTATAGCAACATTAGTAGTGTGAGAGCATCACTATTAAACAATTGGAAAGCTTCTGTGAATGCTCCAACACTAGAAGTATTTAAGAAGAGATTGGACAACCATTTGTCTGAAATGGTATGGGGCAGAGGTGGTATTCAGCAGGTTCTGACCAGTTCTGGAGAACCAGTAGTGGAAATTTTGAGTAGTTCGTAAAACCAGCAAATACCACTTCTCACTGGAGATTTTACAGTATCCTTTTCCTGCCATGCCTACCAAGCCATGCCCACAGAACCAGTAGTAAAAAAAAATTGAATCTCCCCACTGGTATGGGGCTTCCTGACTGAATAGGGGGTTGGCCTAGAAGACTCCAAGCTCCCTTCTGTTATTCTGTTCTGTTCTGAGTTCTGTTCCTAATTCTAATACATATGTCCAAGTTAACAAAGTATGTAGTTAATGGTATGATACAGTAAAGATAAGAAGACAGCTGTTATGGGATTAGTGGGATACTTTTTGGAAAATTACTGTGCAATTGTTTCTAGTTTAGGTACACCTAGAATACCCCCAGTAGTCCCAGATAAGAGGAAGCATGTGAGACATTCAGTTCAGCAAAAATTACAGCTTGATATTTCTTTATAAATCTGACAAGTTCAAGTACACCCTTATTATAGTCATTGAACAATTTGTTTCAAACAAATGTAATTAAAAAATATTCAGGAAATTGGGAACAAAAGAAAAACATAAAATAGATATAACATAAAAAAACATAAAAAGATTTTCAGGGTACTTTGGAATATGCTAAAAAGAAAATATAACATTATGAGTAAATAAAATAGCTAACAATAATATAATGTTAACATATTACTACTTTGGGTAATAAGAGATAAATTAAGAGCCCTCAGGATGTTAGTACATTATGAACAAATCCTAAAATCAAGGAATCACAGATGGGAAAAGTATCAAAATGGGGAAAACAGGCAAACACAGGAAAGACAGATGCAAATAACAAGCAGGAGATAAAAAGGCAGAGAAGTTAACAATAACAATCAACATTATCTCTCATTCTTTCTCACAGACACACACAGACATTTCCAGAGTCATTGAATAGTTAACACAAATAATTATCAGTGGATAATTGACATGAACATTGTGAAAGGAAGTGGCTTTTTAAAATTAATCTTTAACCCTTTCTTTTTCTTTTCTTGTCTCTTCAAGTCAGTGTTGATTCTGAACAAGTCCCTGAAGTTTTCTTGGCAAGGTTTCAGAAGTAGTTTGTCATCAGCTTCTTCCTAGACCTGAGAGAGTATGATTGTTCTTTTTTTTTTTTAACAAACTTTATTCAGTTTTTCACATTAAAAACAAAAATCTCTTTTTAGTGGACAACATATTTCCGGGTCATCACCTTTACATACAGATATGACAGTAATTATACATTCATATATGCATACTTATTATTATATTATTACCTTTTCCATTCCAATTTTTCAGTAAGGAGAGAAACAAACACATTAATTCTAGCCTCTTTCATTAATCTCAATCGAAACATTTTTTTGTTTCATTTCAATTATTTCAAATATAATCCTTTAATATTTATTTTAAAAATAAAGATAAACAATATGTGTTTGCCTAATAATAATAATGATAATATAAAAAAAGTTGCCAATGTCTCTCATTGCTTTTAATAGTCTATATTAACTTATTAATTTAGTTGGTTCTTTAGTCTGTCATATTCCCTTTCCATTTCACATTCTTTTTATAAATTCTAGATTAATACAAGTTTTAACACTAAAAAAAAAAAAAAACAAGTATCGGTTTT